ACAGCACGAACGACACACCCCCGGCCGCTGCCGCTGAGGAAGCTGCCGGCACTCCCGCCTCAACGAGTTGCACTGTTTGCCCTCGCATGCAGATATATACATATATAACTACATACATATGCCTGTAAAATCCCTGAAGAAAGAAGTGAGGCTTACATAGACAGTTGCAAACAGATTTTGTTTGAAACAACCTGAAACAAGATTCGTAGTCAACTTCATACCCACATTTGCCCTCCAAGCATGGACTTGGTTGTTTAGGGCCTTCCCTAAAGATTTTGGCATAATGAGACAGCCAGGAAGTCTGCAACAAACAGAAACAAACACCAAATACCATGTGGTCCATCTGCTCCGGAAAAACACCATCCCAGCAAGTCCATCAAGTCCTCCAAAGCGAAAAGATCTGCCACGAAAACCCAACGTTTTTCTGCGATGATTCTGGGATATTCCGGGTTTCGGCATTGATCCGACTCATGCCGGAGCATTCTGCTTAGAGTGGCGGTTCCAAAAACACCCCCGCCACTTGTAAATCCACAAGCCATTTTCCAGCAAAAAAAATTCGCGGTGGCCTTGGAATAGGGAGGCCCCGAATCGATGTAAAAAGCAAGAACTAAAGCCCCCGAATCGACAACCAAAACGTGCGAACCGACAAAACAAGTTCCCGGCCACAACCAGAAAACAACCCTATCCTGACAAGCCCCATCCCAGCCATTGCACCAAGGAAAGCACTTTCCCAAATCCTAGTGCCACCCAGCGTGGCACTCAGATGCCATGCTTCTTGGCCGGTAGAAACGAAACAAAAGAGTTCATAAGTTCCAAATGTTTTTTCCAGGCCCTAGAGAACACATGCAGCACAATCCAAGGGAATGCCCCACACATACACACACACACACTGCTTTGTTGGAGGTCCTGTTTTCTGGCTTGCGGGTTGAAAACTCCGCTTTGTTGCGGGTCCTGTTTTTGAAGCGTTCAACCTGTAAGAAGCCGGACAGCAGGCGGCCCCCGGATCATTTACAACAGCTGCGTAGTGCTGGCAGTGTTTGCTGGGAAGCCGGCAAAGCACCTACTGGGCCTTGGAATGCATTCTTCGTAGAACCGCGACGTGTTGGTCAGGAAGCATAGTGGTTGAGAGAGCTTCAGCACGTAAAAGGAGTATTCTGCGCTGGCATCGCACGCGCGAGCCATCAGACAAGCAACCCCTGTCAGTTCCCTTCGCACCTGCGTGGCATCAGCGTAGTGAAGAGATTCTGGAATGCTTTCTGCAATCATTGAGCTTAGCCATTATGCTTTCTCTCAGCCAACCCTCAACTGCGTGGAGGTCTTTCTTTTGTGTTTTCTACACACCTGGTTCCTTAAAAAGACAGGACCCCCTTCTCAGAGCTCTCCCATTCTTGAGTGCAGCTCGATATTCCTGGCACTGTCGGATCTTCATTTGTTGGACCGCTAGTGCGGAATCTTTTGCCGTGGGCTCGACTGATACTCCGAGATCTTCCCAAGTGACTTGACAACTGTCTGGACTGGATGGGCTGAGTCACCCACAATCTCTGGTGAGGAGACGCCTCTGGAAGGTCTTGTTGGTGGGGTCTTGAACGACTGGCAGGCATCTTGAGCAAAACAGCTGCATAAGACTGAGGTTGAGATCTTGCCTTCCTGTTTCCCTCTCGCTCACTCCCTCGGCCGAAAAATCTACTCACAGCATATACTCTATCTAGTATTTAAGACGAGACTCTTCTTGCTCGTGCGAACTTCTAGACCCATGTGGATTGGGTAAGGCGGTTTCGCCCTCTTGGCCTGCCCCTGTTTCCCAAACAGGTGGGTGAACCCATGACCTTTTTTGGGATAGTTGAGGCCAAACGTCCCCTAGCCGTGCTCTGGCCTTAAACCGCCTGATCTTCCAATACGAAAGGCTTCATTCTCAACGTCTCAGTTGCTCCCAAGAGTTCGGACCAAATCTAACCGGACATGACACCGTCTGATACCGGCCTTGCTCATGGCTGGTGGGGGCCCAGCAGATTTGCCTCGGTAACGTCGAGGTAAAGGCAGACAATTCCTGGAAGATTCTTCCTGTTCGTGATTCTGGCGGTGGGGATGGGTGGGGTACACTTTGTTCTGCTGGTCTATTTCAAGAAGGCTGTGAAATCACTCGTGAGATGTCGAGACAGTCTATCAAATGACCAACAGTCTGACGTTTACAACCCTTAGGCACAAGCGCCCGCTAAAACGGCCCGAAAACCTTGAACCAGTTTCTTTGAATGCTTTGAACCAGTTTAAAGAAAACGAATGCTTTGAAGGAGTTTTCTTCTCAAGTGGCAACTGCCCATTCTGCACACCCCCAAAAACTGCAGGCATCGCTATACAAACCGCAGGCTCTGCGTGCGGCGTGCTGCTCGCTCTGTGTTGCCCCGCTCTGCGCGCTACTACCCGCCGAGGCAGCTTTGCTGACACCAGCTATTGCCACACCTAAATCAGCAGTTTCTGACCAAGGAGCTCAAGATCAAAGTTCTCGTATGGTCTGATGGTTTCTGAGAGAATTACCCGCCGCGGTACTTGGTCTGTGCACACCAAAACACCTGGTGCATTCCACATCCACTGCGCGCCTTGCCCCGGCGCTGCGCTCGGCGGTGGCGGCGGCGGTGCGGCGGAATGGGCTTGCGGCCATTGCCTGCGGTGCCGCGCAACGAGGTCCGCAGGCCACAAAATGTGCAGAAACTAAGCAGGTCAGCAAAAGATATTAAAAGAAAAAACAAACTGGTTGGTGTTTTCAACTCACCATGAAGTCAGTGGATTCAATCATCCCAAGTACGGGTTCCATAATCTCACAACAATCTGAAGCCACCATCCACAAAAATAACCATCCAGGAGTCTATCTCAGAAAGCTGATCCATGCTGATCCACACAATGTGTGTGTATATCAAGCCTCACCAACCGTGATCTCTATTCGATCGGTCGAATTCCTGAGGCTCGCACCCCGGCCAACCAGGGTATTGCCTTGGAGACTTGTGGAATTGAAGAAAGAAAAACTGGTCCTCTTCACATCATCAACCAATCTTCCTGCCAAGAATCTGTAAAGAGTTTCCGACCTTCTCTCTTGTTCTCTTGGTTTTTGTCATAGCAGGACACCATCTGAGTGCGTGGACATCTGTGCACCCCACCTTAGCTGGACATCGGCTGCGGTACGTGTTCGACGAAACGAAGTCTGCGGTACGTGTGGATCCATCGCAGCGGGGTGATCCATCGCATCACTGGTCCGTTGGTCATGCGCTTTGGTGTGATTCTGTCTTTCTCGCGTTGTCTCACCATACAACTGGTGGAAACCTCTCGGGGATCGATGTAAATCTGATCACCAACGAGATAAAACGAGAGGGTCATTTTTAGGTTCTGCACCACTCCACTGCTTAGGGGCAAGTTGGTTTGCGCAAGGCCTGCTCACCAGTGCAGAGATTCAGACCAGTTGATCCACCAAGACCATGCACAAAAAATGAGGCGTTTTCCACCTGCGACGGGCGGGTCTGAGATCCGAAAGTGCTGGCGGGGCGAGTTCTGCAAGGCGGACGACACGGACACGGCACGCGAGTTCGCTCGGGCTGCACACATCTTGGGATCGGCAGGCCCGCCGGCGCTCAGCCCGGGCCTGGGGTTTTGGTCGGTTAAGGAAGAAGATTGGAGAGGCATAGGTTTCATTAGAGAGTCTATATAGTGTAGTCTGATCTTCTGTAATTCACAATTTCTGATCTACGCAGCTTCACCTAAGAGGCAGATTCACCGTGATGGAAAGGAAGCTTGATGTCATTTGATATCCACCTGATGACCTCACACAAGGCGGTTCATCTTATTGGTGTTTTGAGTCATTTGACAATGGGATTGCTTCACGAAGTCCTTCATCTTAAACCCTTGTCACATGCCCGCATCAGTGCGTCTGCCAAAAAAACAAGAGGCAAACCCAAAAAAAGAAACCACACCTGAGGTCCAGGCTATCTGCTCCAGCTATTTATCCAAGCATCACCACAAAATCTCATCTGAGCCGTGTCTGCAATACAGTACAGTTTTCCACAGCTGAAAGCCACAGGGGTGGAAGCCGCACGGAAGCCGCAAGGAAGCTAGTTGCTAGTTGGGTTGTCACATCACCAAATCACCCTCTGGAAAGCCCCAGAGCAGTGGCCTTCACAGCAAATCAGTGGGGCCCTTGACAGTGGAGATGAGTTAGAGGCGGCGAAGCCACGGTTTTGGAGAAAAAGCGGCCGATGGAGGCCATCTCAGAGGTCAGAGCAAATGACTCAACCGTCAACACTGGTGCTTATAGTAAGGACTGAGGGAATGAGCCTTCCCTTCTAAGCACCCGTCAGTGTTGGAGGCGTTTTTTCGTGTCATTTTTGCTGCTTGCGTCGGGAAGCAAGGACACTCCTACCCCTGCCATCGCTTTCCCAAGTACCAGCTCCAGTGTGTTGCTGGGGTCTTCTAACAATCACAGCAGAAAAAGCATGTCTTTATACTTGCCTCCCAATAGATCAGCTGTAAGTCGGCTATCAGTCATTCTAACCTCAAACCCTGTTGGCCGTCAAAATCAAGCAATTCATTCACTTGGCACTGGAAAAAAAACTCCAAACTAAGAATGCTCAAACCACTCCAAAGCTCTCCACCGCGTCCTCAGTGCGGCCGTCATTCGCTCCCCATGGTTTTTCTCGGCCCATTTCACTCACCGGCTTCTCTTTGGCTCAGTGCAGCGGCGGTTGCAGCGGCGGCGGCCACCTGGGTCTGAGCGTCCCACGACATGCCAGACGGGTGTGACTGCCAGGAAGTCGGTCTGGGAACAGATCCATCAACTCGTTTCAAAACCGTCCTGCACTTGCAGTTCCTGGATATTCTCAGAGTCGTCGAAACGCAGGGATACGCAGGGATGTTGAAACCCTTCTCTTTGATGCTGCCTGAGGCACTGCGACAGAACCCTTGACACTCCATCTGTTTCTCCCATCCCTTCACCGAACGCCTGGTGTTTTCGAAGAAGATCACACTCCGTTCGCCACCTGTTCGGGAACGACGCACAGACACAAAACAGAGCCCGGAACCGGGCCGAATGCTCTGCAAAATGCTGAAAAATCGATGAAAGCTCAAAATCTCCCAACGGCACTTGGTCTTAGATTAAGTAGTTTGACATTAATGCCATAGATGCTCTCTGAATATTGGCATTCAACAAGTTGCACCTTCAACGGATTGAATGTCTGAACATCTTCAGAAAGCCCGGTAGTAGGAGATCTCCAGTGACTTGCTGACAAAAGAAGATCGTCATGGGACCCGTTTTTCTGTGCAAACGTGACAAAGATCCCTTTCGGCATCTGGCTAGAGGCCCTGAGTTGCCTTTGTTGTTTCCTAAAAACAGCAGGTCCTTGCTTTCAATGCATCAGAATGTCAGAAACTCCATGCCGAGATACGCCAGGGTTGTTCATGTTCCCCTGCACCTTAGTCCAATCCACCAACCAGCCCTCTTTCATCAGCGGCTCAGTGGGCACAGGGTCGAATACACCAAAAGCACGTTCTTCAGAGTGGGCAAGATGTCTGACATGCAAAAGTGGCCATCTGACAGAAGACCTGAAGACCTTGATGGAGCATTTCACAATGCAAAGACTAGTAGCTAGAAGCTACTAGTAACAAGGGCATCGCTACTAGGAACAAGGGCATTACTACGTAGGTCGGACGCTAGAGCCACAAGGGCATCGCTATAACCAAACGTGTCAAATCCAAATTCCTCCGCCAAGTGTCCAATCCCGGTGTTGGTTCACCCAAGGGGCCCACATCAGGGACCACCTGACGGCGCCGGCAAGCAACAACTCCGATTCAAGTTGAGGTCATAGACAAAGGAAACAATGAGAAAACAAAAAACACGAGCACCTCTTGTTCTGCCATCGCAATCTCAGAAAGTCTGCAGGGATTGTGAGAAGTGGGTGCAAACATTCGAAACAAACAAACAAATATATATTTATACAGTATATATATGTGTTTAAAAAACACTTTAAACATATTTTTTTAATACATATATATATATTATTTAAAAAAAAGAAAGAAAAGACGGCTCCCGGGGCCGGACGCTTCGGCCTCAATTCCCGTGGGCGATGTCTTGCTCGGGATGGGATAGAAGACTTTGGACGGCGCGCCTGACCCCGAACAGGGTCGGGTCAGTCCTCAAATATGTTTAAAATGCCCTTAAGATCTAAAACAAGTATCAGTAACTAAGTAATGCCCATGTGTCAGGGTATCTAGAAGAGTTCTAGTTTTGGGTATAGAATGGTATAGATACGTCATAGGCTGAGTCATAGGTCATAGGTGTGCCTTCAGTGTCTCAAAAAGAAGATCTACAATCACACGATGTGGCAAGCAGGTTGTTTCAGCTTGTTGAGAATGATACTGTATGTTTGCCATGATCATGTTCCTCTCTCTCCATGCGTCCAGTCGCAAATCTTCTAAATCTGGAGGTCTTGCAAAGCGTCAGAAGGGGATGCTTGGACCATCTGTCTGACGTCCAAGTTGTTTTCGCATGTGTTCCCACGTATGGGAAGCTGGGCTTCAATTCCTTCAGTGTCGCATCCTTCAACAGCCCAGGTCACTGAGGCTGGTGGTTCTGCCGTTGGACGAAACACATTGCAAAGACTCCATGTAACTGGCTCTCCACTGTCAGCCCTGATCCAAATCAGTCAAAATCATTCAACATCCACCTCTGTATGATTTTCAGGAGCACAACAAAATCAGAATCAAGCAAAGGCGAAATTGATCAATATATATATATATAATATCAAATAATAGGCTTTTCATTCCCTCGATTTAGTCATCATCCGCCTGGGCCTTTGAAGAAGAAGCCCGATGCCGGGCTGGGAGGAGTCGCTGGTGGCGCGCTGTCCAGGAAGCCCCTCCAGTGGCACAGTCCAGTGGCTCGCATGGACGCTATGACGCTTACGCAACTCGCAAGACTCGCTTGTCGCATCAAAGGTGTGCTATCTTCACTTGCCCAACCACACACCGTCTCAGTTAGGACGCACACTGGAGACACTGCTGCTGAGACGCTCCCATACATCCTTCTCAACATTCAAGTTCGAAGTCTAGTCTGGGCCTGAAGGTTTTCCACTAGTCCAGGACATCGAGGCGATTCAACTACCAGGAGTTCCTATAGGCACTCCAGCTGAGTGGAGACTCCCTCCAAGAGGCACCTTAGGTTCTATACATCTGCCAGGTTCTATTGACATAGACTGTGGGGAGCGAGCTGATCCTCAAGATGTCTGCATTTTCAGGAGCCCTCAATGTGTTTCTTGTGAAAACGTGACAAAAAGCAGAAGGAAGCGTCGACAAAAACCAGTGAGTCCAAGAACACAGAGCTGTTTTCCACCTACTTGTCCATTGGGTCTCTTTCTTCAAAAACCGTTACTATGAAAAACACTATCACTCCCCCCCAAATCCCCCCAACGTAACAGCACCTCCCAAGTCCCAAGAATTGGAAGTCCAGTATCAAATGAGTTGAAATGATAGCAAGTGCTTGCATCTCTGGCCCCGGTCAGCTTCCATGTCCCGAAATTCCCAACCAGATGATCCCAGCCCCACCGCCCAGCGACCGCCCGGCCTCAACAAGTTCAACGCATCGGAGCGGATGCGCGCGGACGAGGAGGCCTGGCGCTTTTCTCCTAAGGGAGACTCATCAATGATGAATGCTGAAAAGGATGGCTATCTCAAGCCTGCCTTGCACGGCGAAAATCGCCAACTAGGCTTGAACATCAAAGGTCCAAATGGATCCAAATGGGCCATGTTTGCCACAAATGGCACACTTGAACCAGTAGCCAACTGACTCAACCAAGTGACTGGGATGGAACAAAAGGTTCATCTGAGGCAAACAAGGGGCCCGAACTGCGGTCAAAAGCTTTGTCTTAGACCAGTGGGATTTGAGTTGAAGACCACAAGTTGCACAGCGATGTGCAGGGAAGGTCCAAGCATGCTGCTGATGAGTATTTTGCAAAAACTTTAAGACTTCCTTTTTCGAAGCCGGTTTGGGGCCGAAAGTTTTGGTGGACTGGAGGGCGTTGTGTCGCTTACCATCCCGGAGCCAGAGTTGGGCTGTAAGGGTGAGCCTGGTCTGGATTTGCCAACATTGAAGGGTCAATCCACTCGGATTGAAGGGATTGCTGACTCAGGTTGTGCTCATTGGCTAGGTCCTGTGCATGGGTGTTTGCCAGCTTCTCCGCAGCTCTGTTGACGACCCACATCCAATGGGCGTCTTCTCCAAACTCCGTTCGGTGCTCCTCCTCAGTGAGGTGTGCCCTTGTCCAAGTTAGTTTGACATGTCTGCCCTTGCTGTGTTGGTAAATGCTGCTCCAGATGGTGAGGTTGCTTTGACTGGGCCTGGTGATGGCCTGTTTGACTTTGCTGAACCTTCTGCAAGTACTGCTGGAGTCGGTGGCCGCCAAATGGATGGGCCCTGTGGTGTGTTCAAGCAGCATCTCAAAGGCTTTGGCCTCAGCTCGGGGGACTGTCTGCTGGTCCTCAACGGACCCATACATGGTGGCGACTTCCTGCCAAGTGTCGATGTCGTATGCGACAACTGCCCAGGCAACCACCCTGTGTCTAGCACTGGTGCTGTAGGGGCCCGAGCCGTTGCCAAAAGCTAGGTTGGTTGTAGGGAGCGAAGATTTTGCTGTCCACAAACCTGTGCCGTGCCAGGTAGCACTGTCTGACAGGGGTCGGCATGTCCAGGGAGCAGGAGTGAGGCCTCGTAGCCAATAGCAATCGTCTGTGGGAAACCAATCTGGCGGGCATGGACCGATGGTCTGCTGCACAAAAGGGCAAAGCCACATCTTGTGAAAAAGTGTGTTGGGCTGGTTACACTTGTGACATACGGGTGGGCCGCCCGTGTCGCATGTAGTTGTACCATTTCCGGTGTTTCTTGGCTGTGTGGAAATCTATTCCTGCATCCATGTGCCGCCCTCCTTGGAGGAGGCCTGGTGCCACGGCCACCCGAAGTCCCGGTCCTCGGAGCCTTTTGGGTTCGGACCATAGACCATTGAAAACCACGCCCCCCCAAAAAAAGAAAGACCGGTTCCGACATAGGAGGTCTCCCAAATCCCTAGGCTTCCAACAACCATTAATTCAATAGGCTTTACCAAATCAACTAAGGATTTTACACTACAAAAACCAGGTCAACCATTTTTTTAATGGTCTTGGAAGCCTAGGGGAATGAGTGAACCATATACGTCCCGGTGGATCATCCAGACGGATCGGTCCCCATCGTCCGGACTGCGACGAGTTGCTCGGGTGGCTGAGGGTGGCTGGATCCTGGAACTTCTGGGAACGAACATTCCATCCTATTCCCTACGAGTTGTGCCACAGAGCAATTTTCTCAAAATCCATGGTGTGCGCGGGGTTGTGTGTGTGTATGGGGTGTGTGTGTGTGTTCCACCCTGTACCAAAGGGTCCCACCCGTTATCGGATTTCTCTCAAGAAGGGGCGTGTGACACTCTAATCATCCTATAGCACACGCAACGAAGATGTGGATGAGAGTGGGAAGGGAAACTTGGCCAGTTTCCTGTACCTGCGCCGTGACAATACACTCCTTTTCCTGCTGTGTTTGTTGCTTCCATGGCGGTTCATGTTCCTTCCCCCAAACCTTTACACCACCTTTGACAGCAGCCGCACTACGCCGTTTTGCAGCCGCGTTGAAACTTTGTTCCAACATCTTCAAGTGCACGGACCTTTCACCCTACCGTTCCAGCAAGTCAAGTGCATGACATCACAGACTATCACTTGGATTATCGTTTGAATGAACCATCTATCGAAGTGTGTGTCACCAAGTGTTTGCTCCAAATGCGCATTTTAATGTGCTGAAGAAACACAGCTCACGGACTCTCATTGATGCAGGCTGCAATGCCCAAGACGTCCACACTTGCGTTATCCCATGCTCCATCCAATCTGCTGGAGTCCCACTCCACATTGCACTTCCCCATGTTGGGTCAACTTCCCAATCCAACTTCCCCCGCCGGAAATCGCGCCCACCGGTCGCCTCGAGCATCTGTGCTCGCGCAGCTTCTGCCTCCGCTTGCGGGCTGCTAAATGTCACACTGCCTGCGCCGAGATGGCGATGTGAAACCGATCTCTTTTTGGTGGAAAAAATGGAAAAAAATGTCCAACAAGAACACAAACAAGAATGACCACTGTGGCCCTTCTCCATCTCCATCCACGTCCCTCCGATAGAGACTGCACAGCTCTTGCATCAACGATGCGACTGTGACGGCGAGTCATCCATGGCGAGTCATGTGCTGTCGACCTGACGATGGCGATCAAACGCTCCGTTCACAGCCCTTGGGTCCCTCAAAACCATAAGGTCCAGGAGCGTCTGGGTGGTCATAAATATATATATATATATCTATACCCAGACGCTCCGTGTTCGTTCACAGCCCTTGATCCCGAACCAAACCGATCGGGATTGGTGAGAAAACCCAGACCCCTCCAGTCCGGCTTCGGGTCCGAGCTTTCCAAAGGATTCGGGTCTGGGGTCCCGTCTGGGTACATCTGGGTAGTTGACAATATGGTTTGATACTGTGTTGAGGTCCGATACGTTTTTGCTCTTAAGTAGTTCCAGAAAACCATTCCGTTCGATGTCGTGTCGCTTCTCTTCACGGCCAGCCCATCGGCCACGACCACCGGTCTTGCCAGCCTCGCCTGGGGCACCGGAGGATCCTGCAGCTCCTCGAGTGCCGGAAAAACCACGGTGCAAAACCATCACGCTTTGACTGGGAAGCCAAGTAAATGGCAGAGTCAAAAAAATAGATTCGGTGTGGCATTTGGCTAAGTGAGTGGAACTGATCCAGTGAATCCAGTGCCCGTGTTTTCTTTCTGTGCTCAGATGGCGAACTTTTTTCATGGTGTACCTACAGCATCCTACAGCCCAAAGGTACACCAACCACCCTGGCGACATAAGCCATTCTGCGAGAAAGCCCTCGACCAGCTCATGCAAGTACTCCTTTCGGTCTCATGGGCTCAGTGTACAGAGGCCTCAGCGCTGGGCCAAGTTAAGCCACCCAAGAAGCGGAGAAGCGAAAGAAGAAGAAGAAGAAGAAGAATTAGAATTCCACACAGCTAGGAGATTCTCAAATACCACTCTGGCATCATCGACACAGCAGCACGCAACATCGAAGGCATTTCATCTCCAAAACCATGGGAGGAATTTGCTGACCAAAAATAGAAAGCAGCTGGGATACCAGGAGCAGCTGGACACATGTAAGCTTGGGTTGCAACATGATGTACGGTGCTCCAGTGGCCTTGTCGCAGTACCTGGCAGACTGGAGCCAGGCGAGCGAGCTCCCGGTCCAGAGATCAAGGTGAGGTTCGAGAGTTCTCCACAGTTTTTCGTTCAAATGTCTAGTCTAGTCGCAAGTGGTATCGGACTAGCTCTCAGGGTCTGCTCTGGTCAGGCATCCGAAGAAACCTACCCACAAACGGCCACAGATGCACAATGCTTTCCAAAGGTCTCTTTCAGTTGTGCATCCCCAGCGCACATGGGGACACCACAAGTGACTTGGCTGCCACCATCTGCACCAGACGAAATGCCACAAACCATATGCCTGGGGCATTCAGAGCATTCGAAGAGTCCAAAGTGAAAGGGAACTCCTTTGGGTGATGCAAAGGGAGACCCTCTCCGGTGTTCAAAGGGAAATAGACTAATTATGACAAATTCATTAGGCCATTCAACGGGTCTTTGTCTTCGACCAACCGCAAGGACAAGAGGTTTTGGGAGAAGTCCACGCGTTTCTGGGGGCCGAAGCTTCCTTCGTCGAGAGAGGTGAAACCATCAAGCCAGAAGCTAAGATGACAAGGAATATTTAAAAAGAACATGAAAGATAAGAAAGTGGTTAGGTCAGCCTTTATAAAGCCCCTGTACCGGCGGGCCTTATGAAACGTATGTTGTGGTCCTTTCTTCTATTCCGTGTCATCTGTGTTTTTCATAAAAACCACGCAACCGCCCCTTCAACCACCTCAACCGCAGCTCCCTGTCCAGCCGGTCCCGGTCAACCACGTTCTCGGAAACCCCCACGTGAGGTGCTCCGACTTCTCCTCCATCTCCTCAGCGGCCTCCTCTTCTCGGCTGTCCAAGTCCTGACCCACCGGCTCTACACACCAACCCCAAACGAGTCAGAAGGACTAGAAAAGAACCCTTTCAGAAGGCAAAAAGAAAACGTTAAGCAGCCACAGTGGATCCAATCTAGCAAAGTTACCCATCTGTTCCAACCCTACCTAGCCGATAACAGCTCAAGAAAAACGAGAGAATCTCGGTTGGAAGTGGACGGAAGAACCCTCAAAGAGTTCTCCGCGAGGTCCAGGAGTCCTGGTAGCCCTGCTGGATATTTCCCTGTTGCCCATAACCAGGCATCGCCTGGCGACCCCGAAAAGAAGTGTCCTCTTGGATGACTTCGACTTCACTAGTTGGGGCTGTGCAGGCAGCAAAAGAATTTACGAAAAAGGAAGGACATAATCCAGGCAGTCGCCGTTTTGCATGCATGTTCTTGCCCCCCCAGAGCCTGAGCGGAGCCAAGGTCGCCTGAGGCCAAACGGTTTGGTTCATCGGGATGCAGAAATCGACAAACAACTGGATAATTACCAAAATAAACCCGACAAAAGATGACAAAAGTTAAAAAAAAAAGGATAGGATACGCTGGGCATGAATTTGCCGATTAGGCAATGGCAACATCACAAGTTAACAAGTGTTGTGGCAAAGGCCAGACCATGCTGCTTCGTGGCACAGACTTGGCCCTTCGAAACCGTGCCTGTTCATTCGGAACATTTTGGAGGTGAGCCTCCATCTGGAGCCTTTGCGTGATGATCGAATCCCACTCTCCCACCATCTCCCACCTTTCCCTCGCCTGTGAAGGAGCTCCACGTGCGCTTTGGACCACAAAGGAAGGAGGTCGCTGGATCAGGGTACCAACCTGGCACTCGGATTAGGGCGCCACTCGGTCGCTCGCCCCGAGCCTGACAGGTGGGGTGTTCGTTTCGAATCTGACCTCTCCGGTCCATGTCGTCCAGAAACCCATGGCTGTCATCGGCAACCTTTCGACACATGCCCCACCACCAGGAGAAACCGAAAAGGTCCTCTCTTTGCAGGAAACCGAAGCTGCAAGCTGCAACGAAACCGAAGGCCTTCTCCCAAACCGAAGATCCCATTGTCCAGCCTTGGCATCCAACCATCTCAGTCATGTAGACGGATATTTCAACAACCCAAAAGGTTCAAACACCTCTTCAGGCTTTGGTTGAAATGGGTTGAACTATGAATCAAGTGCGTTCAGAACGCTGAGCCGGAGCTCATCGGCTGGGCACTCTCCGAGACTCCCGGAGGTCGCGACTCGGTCGCTGAAACTTCTCCGTTTCTGTTCGCCTCTCCACAAAGGGCCAGGTCTCTCTCCACTTCACCGTGAAACAATGTCCATTAGAGTCTCTCCTCGCGACGCTATGAGGTTGGAGGCCAGCTGCTACCGTGAAACAGTGTTTGACTCGTCGTTTCACTTGAAAAGGATGCGTTTCGCTGCCGCTCCGGCCGCTCCTTGGTCGTCGACTGGGGCTCCCCGCTGGCCGCGCATGGCGGTTCCAAGCACGAGGGGCGCGGGCGTTTTCAGGACACGGGGTCCGGACGAGCGATGCCGCAAGGCGAGTAAGGTGGTGTTGTTGGCTTCTGCTTGTCGTGTTGATGTTCTTACCGAAAAAGGCTTGGTTTTTTCAGTGGTCTTTTCATCTATGCAGTTCTGTTTGTTTTCATCAGCTTCCAAGCTGATCCAATTCTCTGCCCGGAAACAGCGGGCTTGGACGATTTCTTCGGGCTTGTCAACAAGTAGAGTGCAACGTCAGTCGTTTGGTGATGTTTCCTCGGCCAGGTGACAGGACTCCTCTTTTCTGAAGTGTGCTTGCTCATACTGATCTTCTATAGGTTCAGTCCGAGATGTCACGCTGATTGGCGGTTCTCACGGTCCGTGAGCGAGCGAGCTCAATGTCTGACGTCACACGGGTACTCCGCCGGCGTGTTCAGGTCTGGAAGACTCAGGTCGTTGTGGCGGCGTTCTTCGCAGAACCCATGTGTTCCCATGGGGATTTTTCTGGGGGTTTGGGCATGCTCCGCAGGTTGCAAGAACCGAACACATGCTGGGTAGCCTAAGAAAGCTTAAGAAGTAATTCAGGGTTAAAGGGCATCATCACAACGAAAGAAAGGGGATCATGGTCTCAATTCGTGTGTCCAGGTAGCCCATGCATCCACATGATCTCGCATGGTTTTGGTGTGTTCTTAAATCGATGATATAGAAATGGCGTTCTAGACTCTTTTGGAGGGGATACACTTTTCTATCTACTTGGGGGTCACAATCCACCAGCAATAGCAACCTCAGCACATGAGTCCACCAGCAATAGGCTGTCACCCGCTGTTGGACTCTCAACTCCTTTTCCGCACAGTTGCAGTCTTGAAGTGGCCGAAGTGGTTTGACAAGAAGGCTGGTGGCTGCGAACTGCCAACTATCCGTCCGTGAATTCTCAGAACATCCCAGTCAAACATCCAACCGATGCGGCCACTGCTCCACCAGCCATCTCCCAGGCCACAGCTTCAACGCCCACTTTGGCTCCCGAAAGCCGAGATCTCGCCGCCTCGGGCGGGCTGGGCGACTCGGGTCACCGCGGGCTGGTTCCCGCCGTCCTTCTGAAGGTGCGATCCGACGCACGTTTCGGCCACCCTGACGGTCGGTCAAGGTGAGCCTCGTGAGCCTACGCACGTGAGCAGCCGGGTGCCTATATGCTTTTTTGGCTCCGGGGTATTTGGCTGGCGCCTGTGTGTGGAACTAGTTGCATCCGATGAAAAAACAACTGCATCATTGAATCATTGGTCTTTCTGATAAAATGTGCGATTTCCAAATCCACATGCTTGGGCTCCTCAGGATCGCAACATCTTCCATCGTCACCATAAGAAGGAGGATCGGATGGATCTTCGACGGGCAGGATGCTGCGTTCCAGCGGCGGTGGCGAGGTATCTGAGGACTAACCTGCTCGGTGTAAGGCGTTTGTCCATGAATCAACTGTGGGCCACTTCTTCCTTCAGAGATGTTCATTGGGCAAGTTCAGTGAGAAGGGATTAATCTGAGAAGTGCTGCAAAAGGACTGTCGCATCCAACATGTTCGGATTCATGGTTGATTCGACCCAGTGTGAGACGTCCATGAATTCGTGTTTCTCAGGTCCGAACAGCGGCATTGTTGCCTCAAAAAGACCTCTTTCCCGGCCGGTGGTGACCGAAAACTGCGCAACCACAGGCTGCCGAAGGTTCTTCGCGTGGGAGGCCGTGTGGGAGGCGCCACCAGTGGCGCCCAGTTCAGAAACGGCTGGACAGGCCACGGGCGCGAATCCGAAATAGGCCAAATATGGCCAAATGTCTTCACTCAAGAGCGGCTGTTTCCTGTTTCGATGTTTCAACACGTGCCAGGAACGAAGTCCACATTTGCCTGTCGGTCGACAGTGATCCTTTGAGGTGACCCACAAACAAAGGCTTGTTCTTCTCTTCACAAGGTCCGAAAGTCTCTGGTCGCTCCATTAAATGCATCATTATATTCCCATTTTCAGCTGTGGATGATAATGATGGTTAGTAAAGACCTTTCTCAAACATTATAGTGATAACTGTAGTGATAGTCTTTTACCGAGTGCTAAAGAGGTAACGGCACACACCCTAGCCTATGCATAATGTAGACTCTTGATTGATGAAAAAAAACAATTTGCATTGAACAACCTCTTCATGTGGGGGGTGGAAATCAAGAGTCTACATATTATGTCACCAACATGACCTTGTGTTTCTGGCAGCGCGGCACTGCTTCAGCCCTTCCCCCACGAGTTGACCACCCATCGCCTTCGCTCACCCAGCTCGTGCGAAAGCGTCAGCTTGGCTGAGCTTCCGCAAACTCAGTCTGGGTTCTCAGGCCCTATTTTGGTAAAGCTTACAGTTCTTGGAAATCCGACCACTCGAAGACTCCTTCTTTCGGCTCATGTTCGCCCATGTCCGCTCTATGAACGATGACAGCAAGACTATCCAACATCTGCAAGCGCGTTAGTGAAAAAAAATGATCGCGGGAACAGGCTGAAACCTGCATACCCACTCATACCCCACTGTGTAGCCTGTGCTTGGACACTGGAAACAACCGAGAAACAAATCCTTTCGCTTTTGTCACATGTTTCATGTGTAACTCAAATAGATCTCTCACTCAAAACTCAACTTCAGCTGTTCCCACATCAGGAGGAGGAGATCACAGCGGCAGCTTGAACGGCGTTGGTCACACCACTCACACTCCTGCAGCCCAGGCCGAATTCGATGCGGGGGGCACTTTGGCAGTTTTTGGCCGGCCATGGGGGTGTTGAAATGGATGACACGAAAGGAAGTTGATCTCCGCACACAATAGAAAGCCCCCCTCACAACCAGACCCCCTAAATGCGTTCCGTGACACGCTACATCACCCTACCAAGCTCCTTCTTCAATGGTCTTTTTCAACCACAAGCTCCAGATGCGTCCAGTGCTTGATTTCCCCATGGTCGTAATCTCAAGTTGCAAAGTTCCCGGGTCTCGCTAGCCGAGCTTCGCTGGGTGTTTTTCTCCTGAACCCCACGTCTCCCAACAGCTCCTCCTGCGGTCGGTGCTCGCGATGCGCTCGTCGGACGTCTGTGAGGTGGTCTTCTTCACGTGATACATGGCAGTGCCACGAACCCCAATGCTCATCCTGCGCGGACGCGGGCCACTCCGTTCGACGCGCGGACGGAACGCAGGGGGACACGTCGTTCCGAGGAAATAGAGTAGTCCGGGTGACACTCAGAACGTTCGCTTTCTTTGCTGAAGTGGGTGGCAAAACTGGCAGATTGTATCTGGTTCTTGCATGTTCTTAGTCAGAATCCAAGACGTGCAAACCGTTCAAGTATCAAGCTGACTGGTGCGACTCGTAGGGAATGAAATAAAAGGACCCAGATTCCGTGGGATTCCTTTCGATGCATTCACTACACCCAGTCAAGTCCCTTCATTTGTGGCAACGTGATCGCGTCACTTTGGCTCCCCCAGGCCTTCGTGTTTCGGTGATGCACTTAAAGAACTTCTCCTGTCAACCGGGCACACGTCTCAGACGGCGCTAAAGAAGAAATGGCACCGGAGCGATCCCAGAAATGGCAGCGAGATCCCAGAGTTCCCCGACCAGTTCACTGACCAAATCCCAAGCGTTGACTCAGCGCTCACTGCTTTCCACATCGACAACGAAGGACGGTCGAAACGCGTCACACGAAGGACGGTGAGGTCTCGTTGGTCTCGCCGCCTTGTCGACCCGCAGCAATTCCGAGCTCTCAGCCGCCACTGCCGTGTACCTGGGAGCGGTGGAGTTCGGCAGTTGGCATTGGCGCTGGAGCAGTGTGCGTCTATAGTTTGGGCATTTGGACGGATTGAACAGTTCAGGTAGCTGGTAGCCCCCGTTTGGTCGGGCCCGTTTGGCAGGATTTGAGGTGACTTGGGGACGCCCCTTTGTGGAGCAAAAGCACGTGGCAAGTAAGCACTCCTCATATTAATTTATCGCTCTTTTGGCCTTTTTCTCTCAAAAAACCACTCCGTGGAAACGATCGCTTGCTCGAAGCCTCTCCTGACGCCCTAGCCTTCTCTGACGAGATGGAACCATGGGAACGCCCTTAGCTTGGGGATCGTAAGGGATCCCTTAGCTTGGGTGCCTTGGATGGATCCTGCCAGATGGCACTGTGCAGAGAGTACTTGGAGACGCAGAGAGGGAAACACGTGGATGTCACACGCTTTGACCGAAGTCTCACCGAAGTGTCCGACCCGCAAGTCGAAAAAGCGGCGGCACGGATCATCCCCTCGCGGTTCCAACACGACCATGGAACGGTCGTGATGAGTGAGTCGATTGTTTTGGGCCTGCTTGACTTCTCTTCAGAAGGCAACCCTGAAATGATGCCTGAAGATGCAAATACTCTGGGTGGGCACCAACTCTCCTCCAAAAGTGGGAACTACCCACACGTGGCAAAGCTTAAAGGTGGTCCTCCTTGATTGATGGGTTGGATTCCGGTGAGGCGCCAGCGCGCCACCGCCTGCCCAAGGCACTTCGAGACCACCATGTCTTCCTGGTCTAAGCAATGCTCATCCACAATGACTGGAGCCACGTCTACATTGTCCAGGTCATCAAAGGTCCTCAAGGCGGAAAAAGAACGCAGACCGGTTTGGTTAGGTCCCCAAGTAGATCGTGGCACGTGTTCCAATACATGTTAAGTGGGGGATCTACTCTTGGATGTGAGGTCCCCAAGTGCCGAGTGTTGCATTCGGTCGCTACCCTCCGGGTCACCGGAAACGATTGAACTTCAGCGGGTTGCGCGGAAGGTCTGCGCGGAAGGGTGTGGGGAGACCAGGCAGTTCTGTGGCGGTCTTGGAGAGTTGACATCAGTCACAAGTTTGTCAGAAGTGAGAGACGCTCTTGCAGTTCAATCAGGGTACAAGTCATGCAAACAAACATGTTTAAGCCTTAAGCATTGTCATGTCTTATATATTCCCTTCCCTCCCACAGTATCCCACAGCCGCCACCTCCTCGTTTGGCCCGTGGAGTCAAGCTGCGGCATGACGATCCGCTTGGTGATGCGTAGCCGGCCCCAGACCAGGATCCAGGCAGCCAGGGCCGGGGTGCCTCGATTTCGCGCGTCGGTGGTGCCAGGCACGGCACTTGGGTCTCTCTTGTGCCGCGGCGAGTGCAGCTGTTGAGGCCTCACATGGGATTTTAGGATTCGGATGTAGTCTCCTGTGGTGGCATACAGTTGGCATGTGTAGCTTGTACATGCGTCCAGGGACCACATGCAAGAAGCCAGGTTTAGGCTTCACGAAGTCGGGAGCATGAGGGGGGGCATGTGGCAAGGGAGAGAGATGCCAGGATAGTGTACACGTTCAAGAAGCATCCTCCGAAACCTGTCTGGCAGTTCAGGAGATGAGGAGCCCTTGATTCAACACCCCATGGCAATCCAACTAGGCTCTGAATTCAAGCATATCATACAAGTGACATCATCTATCTCCATCCTTCCAAGACTCTTCCCAGACAAAAAGAGCTACGAACATGACCGGAGACCACGTTTCCGGCCTGTCCTCTCCCATCCTCTCCCCTGATCCTCTTCTGCCTGCGGTGTTGACCTCGTCGCCCTGCATGAGGTCGAAGGTCTCTAAGGAGTCCACCACTTTTTCAAAACCTCAATGGACTCGGTTGAGGACCGGTGCGTGGTCGAGGAGTTCGAGAACTCGCTCGAGAACTCAGAGGCTTTAATGTATAAACAACATTAAACAACTGTCCGCGGAAAAAGGACGGCAGATGGGAGTGTGGTTAGGGACGTGTTCTTTGGTTCTAGTTTGGAGGGTTGATCTCGTCGAGTGATTGAGCTCGTGGGTGTTTAATCTTGGATCTTCCACACCGGTCCTGCTTCTTTCTGTTCTTAGTTTTCGCGACAGCCTTTCGGATCGCGGCTGGGATGAAGAACTTGGGATTGAAGAAGAACTTGCCAATTGGTGGCACTCGGATGCGGGGATTCTCAGGCTGTGTGTCTATCGGATACGGTGGATCTTTGACCGGTTAGCGTTCCTCTTCAACGTGCGATCCTGCCCCGCTCATTCACCTGCGACTGTAGACGTGGGAGGGAGAGAGAGAGGGAGACGGTTCCCCATGAAATGCACCACCCAAACTGCTGCCACCAGGCAGAAAATCAAGGAGACAACACGAATTTTGGATGCTCATTGGTCGACCCCAATCAGCGCCTGAAGTCAAAGGGGTCGAAGCCATCAAACGAGTGGGCAACTCGCTTCTTCACCCACCGACCCAGAAAACACATGGCTGCATCAGAAAAAATCAGAAAACTGCCTACCCTCCAAGTTCCCAAAAATAGAAAGGTTCGGAGTCAGGCGACTGTCGCGTTCCAGTTCGCTCATCATGGGGATCTTCTCCAGATAGCGTCGCATCTGGCAGCTTCGTCGGTCCGGCTGGAGTCGAGAAGGGGCAAAAGAGCTCAGCAACGACGACGACTCAGCTTCTCCTCTTGGATTCTCACAATTCCTTCGTTCATGCTCCGGTCAAGACGCTTCCCCTCCAAAAAGCAGAAAAGTGGGACACAAAGAAGATTGACAGCAAATCTCGTCAGGCACATTCATGTCCGTGAAGATTGACTGGTCTCCAGCGTGGTACCCCGTTCTTTCATATTCTTTCCTCAGCTTCTTGGAGGATGCACCGGCCGGTGGGTCTTGGTGGGTCACGGTCCCGGGCCTCGCCTGCGAGCGGCGAACCTGAACTTTCAGCTGCTCCGGCAGGATTTGCAGCAAATTGGCTTCCTGGAACACCAACGGGTCTGAGAGCCCCGAGACCCCCCTTGGTCACCCCCCTTTTTCCCGAAGGAATCTCATTGGTGCGCAAACTGAAAGGACGCGGAAAGTGAACAAACCCTAGCGTCTTGAAGCCAATTCCTTGGTCGAATTCTGTTTTTAGGATTCTCTTGGGCGCACGATGGCGCAGGCTTTGGGTTAATCATCTGGCAGCCGTTTGGGCTCACCCCTGACTCCACTGCATGCACGTTTTTCCATGCATGGTTTAAGCCAATGATGCTCAACAAAAATTGTTGGTTTATCCAGGTTTATCCTTTGTTCGTTAATTGGTTTCTGTCAACTCATGATGCAGCATTCTTCATGTAGACTCTTGATCAATAAACCCACCCATTTAAATGCACGGACTTGTGGACGGTCAGTCTCGACGCGCGGCCACTCCCCCCCCTTCCAGGTTGTGTGGGAGGTTGAGGGGACCCACCCATTTGAATTGGAAATCCTCTTCATATGGGGGGGGATTATTAAATCAAGAGTCTAGATTAATATGTTTCACTATACTGTATGTTTCCTGGCATGTCAGCTGACGAAAATCTCGCCACCGTGCCACCAGCGGTGCCTTCGCTTGAATCCGACGCCGGTCAAAGATGTACCTGACGTCAATCTGTTTCGGGGAGGAAGGTTCAGCAATGTATGGTGCGAGAGTGCACACGAGGAAAGCCCAAGCAGGACTGGTTGATGCTATTTGATGCTTCTTGCGAGGATTTGTGATGTTCTCAATATCCATCATTCTTGTTCCGAAAACATCCAAAAGCTATGGCCCGCTTTCTCAGCATAATATCCGAAGTCCATCTGCCAACCAGTATCTGTGGTCACCCTTTTGCTGTCCTTAAATATCTTCGGTCCACTACAAAGTTTTAAGGGGGACTTGCAGAGTCCGACTAAGCAGCTAAGCACTTCCTTGAAAATGGCCCAGTCCGACTCCAACGAAGAGGGTCGGGGCCTTCTGGGGGCCTGCTCAAACAGGGATCGAACGAATGGAGTCAAACGCTTTTGGCTTTCGCTTTCACTCGCTTTCTCTCGCTGGGCCGAGGGTGGATGCCGCCCCACGGGCCGGTCGCTGCCACGCCTCAAATAGGCTTTGACCTTCAACTGAATCGTCTCCTGTCGTCGAGTGCCGTTGGACCCGATGTGTTCACTGCGAACATTTCAACACAAAGCACTCAAAGCAACAAATCTGGCGCTTAGCCACTACGCCAGTTCACCAAAGCGATGGTGTTTCACTTAAATCAGCTGGAGAAACAACCCAAGCAACGGCCCCAACAACCAGCATCCTCCACGTCAGTCTTTTGAAGATGCATCCGTACCGCAGCTAATTCCTGCGCGAGACTCATCAGTGGGTTGGTGACATGCGTCATGTGTTGGCCTGGTCATCGTCGTCATCTTCATGATCTTTTTCTTCATAAGTTTCTTCTTCTTCTTCTTCTTCTTCTTCTTCTTCTTGTTCTCCCCTCCTCCTCCTCCTCCCTCCTTCTCCTCCCTGCTCCTGCTCCTTCTCCTTCTCCTTCTCCTTCTACTTCTCCTCCTCCTCCTTCTTCTTCTTCTTCGTCGTCTTCTTCTTTTTCATTCATCCTTCATCATTCATCCTTCACCCCTCATCCTCATCACCATCACCATAGGAAACGAAAGTCCTGACAAGTTGAGATTAACGCACCAATTCCACCACCCTACCCTGCGTCTTCAGCTCGCAGGCTTGCTCATCAAACCCCTGCACTTGCACATCTCCAACTCTCCAAGTATTTATAAATGTTAAGTTGTAACAACGCAGCATAACGGCTCAGGATGATATTTCCTGGCCAAATCCTATCAGGAGGGTCGCGTTTGAATGCTTGAGTGGAGAAGTACTAGTGGAGTGTGACAACCGTGGTTGACCAACCACCCTGTCTGCTCCAACCATTAACCATTCCAAAGACTCCAACGTAGAAACCACCATACCTTGCCATACCACCCATACCCCACAGTGCCTCTTGAAAGGCCCGCCGCCGATCTGAAATCCTCAGGCAGGACGCGTCAGTCAGGTATCGCCGGATGCCCGGCGACCCCAAACCGCCAGAAATCCACCAGTTTTGTTCACGTGACCTTTACAAAAGCTTAATCCACAACCTGGGCACATTGCTTGGACATTGACCTTGATTTGTATTGGCAACTAATTAAGAGGAGCAGGTCATCTCCCTTTTGGATCCACTTTGCGTCTAAAAGTTCAATCCCCCAAATTTGGGTTTCGAGTTCTGCGGTTATGGACGCGTGCCAAGAGAGGGTGGGGCGCGCAACGTCTTTTCGTGCCAAGTTTCTTGAAGAACGCCTGAGTGATGAGGGACACACAAATCGCCTGAGTGATGAGATCATCAACCGAACCATCCTGTTCAGCTGCTTCGTTGCACAAGGAGAGAAAGGGTGTTCAGCAAACATGTGACACGAGCTGGCGTGAAAACAGGCCTGCAACAAGGGTTTGCGGGCGTGAAGAGTCTCGATGCTCTGCTTGTGGCGGATCAGATCGCCCTCTCCCCCTCCGCCGGTTGGCCGGCTGAGAGAGTGCAATCTCCCACTTCTGAAAATAAGTTGACGTGGGAACACTTCCCCAAGCAACTTAACAAACATCCTCAGGTCCAACATATATACACCATTTTACACCTCCATTTCGCCAAGTGGCAAAAGCGCTCAGTGCGAAGAACATGAAAATCAAGACAAAGAGCCGCTCAGGCAAATTCACCGGTGTCACCTCTGCAGGCATCGTCCTCATCACGCCCAAGGTCCAATAGAAGCAGAAAACCTGAGAACTCGGCGTCACGGAACACGGCTCGGCTCCGAACACGATGTGGTGAACACGATGTGGTGAACACAATGTGGTGAACGAACAGAAGTCTGCGTCTTTCTAGAACGTCTAGACGTCTAGAACTGATTTCTGGCTCTCTAGATTTCATATGATTTCATTGCTTACATATATCCAAAGGATATCCAAATGATTGAATACAAAAGAATACTGCTGTGGACTGCTGGAGTTGGTGCTTCAGAGCTGCTGAAAACCCTGGAAAGCGGTCAGCCAGTCAGCCGGTGAGTCTTGGCACCAGTGGACGTTCGCAGACTTTGTTACGACGTAGCCCCGAAGGTGCAGGATACTTCAGAACCTTTCTTGTCATTGTAGGGGTAGGCTGCATAGAGCTAAAATTTGTTCCTGACATGGCCACTGCAAAACCCACGCCCTTTCTGATTCTCCCTACAGTGCTTCCATGGAGGGGTATCCCATCACAGAGAGTACAGATATTGTACAGATCAAAACCGTGGAAGTTGTGGGACCAGCCTCCCACGACACCTCCCACGGCACGTCCCATGCTCCGACACCTGTGTCTGCGTCGCGTCCTCCCCGTCCCATGGACCGTCCGGTCCAAGTGGCATATGCTTCGGGTAGTGGTCGGTCGAGCCACCGCCACAGCTCTTTCTGAGGAAGTGACAAGGCTGAAAAGAAAAAGCGGCAAACTCAACTCTCTGAACCCAGAAACAACAGAGAACTCAAACAAACGAACATTTCGGCGCAAACGTACACCTGCGACCTCCTCAACGCATCTCTTAATTGATCCTTTCGAAGACCATCGAAGATGTATCAAGACTTCCGAAAATGTCCGAAGACCATCAAATACTGTGCCAAAAAAGTGTGCTTCCGTCTCACAAGAAGGCACAGGCAAACGGTTCCACCGCACCGCCCCAAAGCCGCGCGCAGCGCAGAGCGCGGCCCAGTGACTTCCGAGTCGGTCGCTCGTAGGATCGTGGTCCAGTGAGGTGAGTTGAAGTACTGCGACTGGGACTCCTCGTCCATGAGCTCGGAAAACCTGAAAGTACAAAGTCACTAGTTAGGTTGGAGGCCCATCGCTCTTAAGTTGGAGGCCCATCGCTCTTAGGTTGGAGGCCATTGCTTCTCGGAAAACCTGAAAGTTGAGCTGGGCAAGCTCATGGATGCACCGAGCTGGGCACCGAGCTGATCCAACTGGTCGAGCTACCGAGCGCTAAGCCGAGCCGGGCTGGTCGGACTATGAAGTTCGGCAGACATGTTGCACAGTTGGAAGATCGTTGTTCGTAACTACCACGAGAGGTTGGGAAGTGACCTGATATATAGGACCATCATCTGGACGTAACCCAACTGGGATAGTCTTTTGCAGGTTCGTCAACCTCTGTTTGGTACGGTGCGCGGTTGGGCGTATGGCTTGAGAGCCATGGCCGAGAAGCTGGAACAAATAACCACTGGACGGAATCATCTGGAATCCATGGTCAATGTTCTGTTTCACCGGCCCAAACACTGCTGAAATGTCAAGAAACTGCTCAAGCTGTAAAAGATTGCTTTAAAACCCCATAAAGACCCTACGTATTGCCCCTTGGCCTTATGTGGGCGTCCTGTCTTCATGCACGCCCTTCTTTCAAAGCTCTGCTTGCGGGTGGCCGAACTGGCCGAACACCGACCCCAGACGGAATCTGCGTCGCAAGTGCAGACCAGCCACAACTGAGCCGTCCTAAAACCATCCGCATGCGATTAAAGTCATTTTGAACCTCCAATTCGATTCACCCCGAGCTGATCTCGAATCAGCTCAACCCTTAGGGGGGTTTTCCCCCCCCCCAAACCTCCATGGTCTCCCTGCTTCGGATTCCGACCCAAAACGTCGGATTCTTCTTCGACGTGGGGGGGGGGACGTTTTGGGAGTGCTTCGGCTGAAGGCGCTTCCTTTTTTTAGCCCCAAGTGGTTACTGTTGCCGCCCTGCGCCAGGGCACAAGTTGCTGGGCAAGCCCACGAGCCAAAAAATGCAGGCGTTCCAATGGCAAATGCCGATGACGATGAAGAGCACCCCTCGGTGTATGGGACCCATTCACCGGGGACCGGTCGGGCAGCTGAATGGGGCGACTGAAGGAGAACGCACCAGAGCAACAAGTCAGAGTCATAGTCCCCAGTCTAGTAGATACAAATCAAGGCCTTGTGGAGCCTCCTGGACTGCTTCAGCTTCCCATTGAAAAAAACATCTCTAGACCAAGCTCTGCAAGGATCTTGGGCAGGAACTCGGCTTCCACCCTTGAAAGCTCTGCTTCCACTTCTCTTCGCCGAGCGGCGGACCAAAGCGACACACTGGACGAAGAAGATGGAGCCGATCCGGGCCTCGATCCTTTCCCAAATGGCGCCCAGCTTGGCCAAGCGCAGCATACGCATGAGCCTGTTCAGAACGCGCCGCAGCGTCCTTCCGCGGTCCGCCTTCGAGTTCGAAAAGAACCCTGTTCTGCATGCCCACGGTGCCACGACGGCTGCCGTGGCTAAGATGTGGTTTGTTTCTTGATCGAAGATGTTCTCGACTCAAGCCCCTCGACTCGAACGGTCGCTGCGGGGCGAGCTTTGATGATTTTGAGCTTTGAATGATCGTCATTCTGAAGCCTTAGCATTCTGAGCCTTCCCCAGAGATTTGAAGAAAGCTTTCACGCAAAGCAGACCAAGTTCGTCGGTTGGCCAAAGTGGGTGATCTCCAAAAGCTACGAGAATCCTCACACTAAATGTTTTTGACGGCCTTATAGATTTGAACATGCATATTTATCATATTCTGAGAGCTACACTCAGACCCTTGGAATTGTTCCCAAAATTGAGCTTTGTTGTTGCAGGTTGCAGGATTACAGTGGGTTGTGTTTCATGGCTTCTCTATGTCGAAGCCTTTGGCTTCCCTTCCCTCTTTACGCTGTCCCCCAGAACCTCTCTGAAAGTCCCGAACTGCTAATTACTAGCAGAAATGCCCTTGTTACTAGTATAGTAATGCCAGGTACTTGTAGCGTCCTTGCTCCTTTGTAGCGTCCCGCCTCAGCAAGCGTACGAACTTCACCACCTTGGTTAATCGCGTCAGCTGAGTGGAGCCCGAATCCTCCCCACTGGTCAGCAGCTCCGCGATCTGAGACCTCGAAGGTCTGAGAAGGTAGAGACGACCGGTGTCACGGAATGGGGTCAGGGAGTCTGAGACCTCGCAGTGGGCCCAGCTGTTTCGGAGACCAAGCGCGTGTTCCTCAAGCACATCGACTGACAGTCACCGGTTCTTCTCAAGGCAAGTCACCAGGGAACGGTGCTGCCAAAATCAATAGCAAACCAACCACGCAAATACCTTAGGTGACTTGGACAAGACATTTGGATGACTGGGACGAATGTGGATCACAATCAGGCCAGTCTGAAGAACTTCATGCTTTCTAGCTATCTCTATGGCTCCCAACAAAGCCTAAAGGCACAGCACCACTACTCCGAGCGTCTTTCTTGCGATGGTCCTTCGATCTGTGATCAAGGTACCTGTCTGGGCAGACACTTCACTGTGTGGCAATCACCACAGTATGGCTAAACAGACAATTCTTTCGGTAAAGCGGGTCTGTCCTCTTAAGCTTTGTGCGGATCAGTAGTTTCCTCCCTAGAAACGCTCCATCTCTTCCGAAGCCCAACCGTCCCGTTCGTCGCCATTCGCACACCGAAGGGACGGACAGTTCGGTGTCCGTCGGTCCTCCCCCAAAACACGTTCCAAAACACTCCACTTCGAGGACGACGTCGGTGCCCCCTTTCATCACTTCGGTCAGCCCCTTTCGTTGGAAAAAACCGACGCGCCCGCGCCTGGGGCCACGCTCACATCTTTGTCGGTGGACTCGACCGCCGTGTTGAAGGAGATCACCTGGGTTCGGATGCCCTCGAAGGCAAGTGTCGGCACACGATCTGAGTGCTGTCATCGTCTGACCGTCTGACCGAGCTTGTGTATCCATACCGACATCTGAGGTGTGAAATCGTATGAATACCGGCAAAAGCCACCAAACTCTGGCTGCGCTTGGATGGACAAGAGATTGCTGCGCGGCTGCTCTCCGTCCGGGCCGCGAAAACCCGGCCGAAACGCCGAGTAACCACGATAGGTAGCGATCAACAAGCATGGCGCTGGCTATGACCGCTCAAACTCGTACACAAAACAAGTGTAGTGAACACCAAGATCCAAACACTTCATGGTTTGGTGTGTCTAAAGCATTGGTCTCCTTTCATGGACCCCCAAACATCCAGAAGCTGGTCACATTTCCCGCACCAAATCTGCCCCTGTCATTGTCCCTTGCACCAAACAGGTGTTCTTTTTTTTCTCTGCGCTCAGGGACCACATCGATGCCAAAGATCAGGGTGGTGATCCAGAGCCATGCCGCATCAAAGTCATCAGGGTCAAAGTTGCTCTTGAAGGTGAGTTGGAAGGGAAGCACCGTGGCATCCATTAAAACCAGGAACATCACCTGCGGGGAGAGCGCCGATCTCTCCACGGATCGGCCGGACGACCTCCTGGAGAGGGATGGGAGATGGAAGAAAGAGAGAGAGAGAGAGAGAGAGAGATGTGTGTGTGTGTGTGTCCACTCCTGTTTCCAAGGACACTACCCTAGTTTTTCTAATCTACCCTACAAGCTTTTCTGTACAGAAGCAGGGGGACAACCCCATGGATGCAGTTGGTTGTCCAACGAAGAGGGCTGCATTCCATGGCTGATATGATCCTGGGACGCTAGGATCACGTACCTGCAATTTTAATACTAATTTTGATTTTCAATCGCTGAGATTTCTAAGTCAGTGCAACGCTGTCTCATACGTTGTTTCCTGCAGTATCTAAATTTAAAGGGCTAATGCACACCGCGAAGCTACCTGAAATCACGCTCCACGGAGCAACCTTCTCAAGTGTGTGTGTCCACCCCTGGACAAAGGGTTTCCTTCGACCACTCCAAT